GACTGGCTAAAGGCTTTGCCACATTCAGTACATTTATACGGCTTCTCTCCAGTATGAATTCTCTGGTGGCTGGTAAGGTTTGATGACCCAGTGAAGGCTTTGCCACATTCTCTACATGTATAAGGCTTCTCTCCAGTGTGAACCCTCTGATGATAATTAAGAGATGAGGACTTGGTAAAGGCTTTGCCACATTCATTACATTTATGAGGCTTCTCTCCAGAATGAACTCTCTGATGCATAGTAAGGTCTGAAGAGAAGCCAAAGGATTTGCCACATTCTCTACATTTATAAGGGTTCTCTCCATGGTGAACTCTCTGATGATATATAAGGTGTGAGGACTGACTAAAGGCTTTGCCACATTCTCTGCATTTATAAGGCTTCTCTCCAGAATGAACTCTCTGATGCTTAGTAAGGTCTGAGGAGTTGCCAAAGGATTTGGCACATTCTCTACATTTATAAGGCTTTTCCCCATGGTGAACTCTCAGATGAGAAGTAAGGTGTGAGGACTGGCTAAAGGTTTTGCCACATTCTCTACATTCATAGCGCTTCTCTCCAGTATGAACTCTCTGATGATAATTAAGGGATGATTCCTAACTGAATGCCTTGCCACATTCTTTACATTTGAAAGGCTTCTCACCAGTATGAACTCTGTGATGTTGATTAAGGGATGAAGAGTGGCTGAAGGCTTTGCCACATTCTCTACATTTATAAGGCTTCTCTCCAGTATAAACTCCCTGATGTAGTTTAAGGGAGGAGGAACACCTAAAGGCTTTGCCAAGTTCTCTACATTTGTCAAGTTTCTCTCCAGTGTGGATTCTCTGATGAATACAAAGTGTTGACAGTCGGCTAAAGGTTTTCCCACATTCTGAACATTTATAAGTCATTTCTTCCCTATCATTTCTATAATGTTGAGTATGTCCTGAGGATTGACTAAAGCCTGTTCCCTTTTCCTTGAGTGTATAAAATTTTGCTATAGTATGAATTCTTCCCTTATGAACAATAAGAGAAGAATGACATTTAAAGGCTTTGCCACATGCTTTACATTTGTAAGGCTTCTCTCCAGTATGAATTTTTTGATTTAGCATACAACCTGAAGGCCAATTCGATCTTTTACCAGAATCTTTACATGTATAAGGTTTTTTTTCACTATGGATTTTTTTCATTTTATTTGTATTGAATATCTGACTAGAGATTCTAGTACAAGGATTCCATTTGTCAGACTCCTCCCCAGTATGAATATTATCTTGTTCATTGTAATTTGAAAACTGCTGAAAAATCTGGACACATTGACTTCCTTTGTGTGTCTTCTCCACAATTGGAATAACCTGACCTGTACTGTGATTGGAAATTTGGTCAAAGACTTTTCCACTTTTATAATTGTCCTCTGCAAGCTTGCTTCTCCAATGGTTAAGATATGACTCTTGCTCAAAGTTTTTCCAATGTTTAATCCATTGATAACTGCTCTTTCCATTATATGTACTCTGGTGATAATGGGAGATAGAAAGCCTTTAGTGATAGTTATAATTTCATTAAACATGTACACTTATTCCATAAGAACCATTCTGTGATACTCATTAAACCAAGATGGTTGTATAGTAAAAGCTTTCCTAATTTATTAAAATTATACACAAAAAATAACTACAAAACATTAATTGTCAAAAAAAAATGAATCCTTGTTTAAAAGATTGCCAAATTGCCCAGCCAGCATGGCTCCATGGTGGAGCTTCAAAGATTGAACAAGAAGGTTGGTCCATTCCTCATGAGGGCACAAGCCCAGGTTTGGGATCAGTCTCCAATGTGAGGAATGCAGGAGGCAGCCAGTCAATGATTCTCTTTCATCACTAATGTTTGCCTCTTTCTCTTCATATCCCTGCCTCTCTAAAATCAATAAAATGTATTTTGAATAAAAAAAAATAATAAAAGCACTAGCTGGATTGGCTCAGTGGACAGAGCATTGGCATGTGGACTAAATGGACCTGGATTTCATTCCAGTCAAGGGCACATACTCAGGTTGCTGGCTCGATCCTCAGTGTGGGGCATGTAGGAGACATCCAATCAAGGATTCTTCCTCATCATTGAAGTTTCCATCTCTCTCCCTCTCCTTTCCCCTCTGAATTCAATAAAAATATATTTAAATGTTATAATAATACTAGTATTGCTCAATTGAGAACACTTTAATTTATAGGTATGTTAGTAGCCCTGCGCATGAATCCGTGCATGGAGTAGCTCGCAGCAGCTTGCCGCAGCAGGCCACCCCACCCACTGCTGCTGGTAGCTCTCTGCTGCTGGTATCTCACTGCCCACTCTCCTGTAGCTCTCTCCCACTTGTAGTTCACTGACCTGCCCCCCTGTACCTCTCCCCACCCACAG